AAGAATTGAAAAATTAAGTCGTTCAGTCCTTCAACCAGTTTATAATTTATATAATGTTATTACGTTACATTACCTCGAGACGATCGACGTCCATTGTCGATCTTCAAATACTTATACCTGTATATAAATTAGACGCACAAGGGGGGGGGGGGGGGGGTTGGTTGCCGAGTGCATGGTCTAGCGCACACCAGCTCGGAGCACTGGGAGCGAAAGCTCGCGCTGCAGAACCCACCCCGCCCCTGCCCGTTTCGATCTGGAAGAGCATCGTACCGGCGTGCGGTCGTGCATCACTACTGCGTGGCGCACGCTGAAGACCCCAGGTTTTCGGTTGTACCGCACTGGCTAAATTGCTCATCTACAGCTGAGACACCAGACGCCCACTCAGGCAGACTAACTTCCGGCTGAATAAACATACACACAACAATTTGCAATTAGACGCATAATAACAAAGAACACAGTGTGCCGCCTCTTTTCTTTGGATGCCTTCTTTTGTAAACCAGCGCAAGCTCGTGCGTTCTCTCTTTTGAGACGGTTAGAACGGTCGCGTATAGAACCCGCGTTTCTCCTACCCGCCCGCTTCCTCCTCTCATTATGTGTATTTGGTTATAACTAAATAAGCTATAATAATGGTGTATTATTCATATTTACTTTCAGTTTCAGTCAGGGAAAAGGAGTTTCGCGGCCCCTAGAGCCAATAAATAAGCTGCGCTTAGAGTATCGGCACTCTCTTTCCCGACAGTGTTGTGAACGCCGCCATTTTGGTGCTTGTGCAGAGCAGGCGCAACTGCCGATCGTCATGATTCAAAAGTGCGACATCGTCAGCATTAGATTCGGTGTTAGGAAGCTCATGTAATGTTGCTTTGCTTTGTCGCAAACTGTTTAAAGTGGGGGACGGAAAAGCCTTTCTTATGATTTCAGATAAAGCTTCAAATAACTGGCAACCATAATTTTAAGCCATACTAAGGCCAAGCGTGGCTACTCTGAAGCGTAGCTTATTTAATAACACTATTCATGCTCTTGTTCAAGAGGCTTGTAATACCTAGGGTGCCTCAATGTCCTTCTGTTTAGGGTGATGCCACCCTCTGTAGTACCCGATGCCGGCAGCACGCCCTCACGGGGAAAATACAAAGAAATCGACGAAAACAAAATGTCGCCATAGCACAATCAGCGCCACGAGCGCGTGCAGGGACACGCTCTTTCACGCGCTTCTGAACAAAAAATCAAAATAAAAGAGGGGGACAAAATGGCCAGATGTCGTGCTCCACCCTAAGCAAAGGGCACATGAAGTGCTCCACCTAGTACTACCTGGAGGGGCCATATCGTAAGCCCCGTGGATTCCACAAGCCACTACCTTTTGACACGTGCCTCTTCGTTGTTCCCGCTTGTGCCAGTAAATTAGCTACGGTTCAGAGTAACGACACTTGGCCATATTGTGGCTTAAAATCATGGTTGCCAGTTATATGAAGCTTTATCTAAAATCACAGGAAACGTTTTTCCCTCCCTCACAAATGTTTAAACAACCCGCGACAGAGCATTGCAATATTGCATCAGCTTCCTAGCACCGCATCTAATGCTGAGGAAGTCGTACTTTTAGATCACGATGATCCGCAGTTGCGCTTGCTCTGAGCAAGACCCGAAATGGCGGCGCCCAAAACAATTTTGGGGAACGGAGTGCCGATACTTTAAAGCTCATTTAGTGACTCTAGGCATAAAGTGAACTCGGGTGTATTCTTTTCCTCTTCGTCTTCATTGTTTATTGATTTCAATCATACCGAATAATGAACACACTATATCACGCTACGCTTGTGTAAATATTGGTCTTAGATTTATTAGCCTGACCCAGTACTTAAACCATTCAGTTATCGATAGTAAATCTTCCAATATATTTTTTAAATGTGAGGGTAAAAAGACACGGACATTGATGATGATACAGACGCCAACGCCGCCCTCGGAAATTTTTTGAACATTAGAAATCAGCAGTTTGTCTGCCATCCGCCAGGTAGCGCAACAAAACAACCAAACAGTTTTTAATCGTTTTTAAAATTAGCTAAGCTCTACACCTATTAAGAAACCAAAGCAATATCATTGTGAAAATTTAATACATCACAATGTATATCTATTCCAAACTATAAATGTTATTAAATGCCAATAAATCTGTTTGATGTCTAAAACAGATATGCGTCAAAAACAGGTAAGTTTGAAGGGCTCCTGGAGCGTTATGACTTTGAAAATGAAAAAAAGCCATCGTCCACCTCTTGGGCAACCATTGTAGCTCTAAATGTTATAAAAGATTTTATCATAGTTTAATTATTTCTTCAGCGGCATTTGATCTACCATGACACGAAGCACAAAAAAGTGCTACGTTTGATATAAAATATCTAAACAAAAAAATATTTACACAACATTACATTTTTTTCTGCATATTACCAATTATAAGCACTACATCTGTAGCTAATTTCATTGCCCTAGCTCTTGTCTTTAAAAACATATTTGTGCGGAAAAATGTCAATTTTAGGGCAATATTTGGAGGGATGAAAAAAACAAAGTAGTGCAAATATCAAAAAAGTGGATCGTTAGATTCTGCTCCTACATCGTCTTAACAAAACTGCTATATTGGAACCGTGCTATCTTTAATGGATCGTTCATAAAACATGAACTAGCGGAGCAAGTGAGGGTCCGCGCCATCATATTCACAACGCTACAAATGCGCATGAACAGTAAAAACCAACACATACATAATATCAAATGAAAGAGGATTGCATTGCCTTTCAAATGACATCAATCCCAAAAAACAGTATTTAAAAGGAGATGAGTAATGGCCTGCCGAAAAGTACCTAAACTGCCACATTCAGTGGGACCGTGGCCTTAAGGCCGGTTCTCATATGCAGCGAAGCGCTGATGTAGCGCTCCTCACGTGCCGTCAGCTACTTATCGTCTGCCATGAGCAACAGTTTTGACGGTTCGATACAAAGCTGGTGAACGCTCCCATCAGCACGCGCTTAGCACGAGGTAAGCGCTATGCTTGTAGCGCTCCGCTGCATGTGGGAACAGGCCTTTAGGGTCTAGCCTTGTCCGTCCGGCGTCCGTGCTCACATCGATTGCCATCCCATCTGTCTTCTTAAAAAAATAAAAAAAATGCTTGCGCAGTCAACAGGATTCGAATCTGTGCGGGGAGACCCCAATGAATTTCTAGTACATCGCCTTAACCACTCGGCCACGACTGCGAGACGAGTAGGAGGCTCTGAGATGTGGTAGTAACTCAAGAGCTGGTGATGTCGTGGATGAAACGTTGAATGTAGCGGCTCAACGTCTATAAAGGAGAGGGCGCTGCGGTCAAATGCGTATATAATCGCGTTAAACTTTGCATGCATTGGCTCAACGTTTATAGGCGAGAGGGCGCTGCGGTCAAATGCTCAAATGCGTATATAACCACGTTCCATACCACAGATTCTCTTTCTGACATGGACTGTTGACTTAAGTGGTGGAGATGCGTTCACATCCCCGAACTCAATACTACCTATGAGCAATAAAAAAAAAAAAAAAAATCAGCATTATCAGCACTACCTATGAACGAAATCAGTATCATCAGCACCACCAGAGCTTCGCCCCAATCAACATCATTCACCACGTGGAGATGCGGTCATTTTTTTGATAACACCTCGGCGTATCGTGAGCCTGGAGCTTGCGCGCGCAACCAAAGTACGGCGGAGGGCAGCGAGAACCTGGTGGCCGAGCATAGGAAAGAGACGCCCTGCCGTTCTCGTCCTTTCAGTGATTCTGGCACCCGAAACGAGCACGCTTTATCATACTGGTAGTTTCGATAACAAGCTTTGGGTTCTTAGAGAAGCACGAGAGAAAGGGGCGAGAGCTTGTTGCTACTCAGTGCCAATAGGGTCGCGCAGTGTGCATATTAATAGACATTCGCCATCGCTGTTCCACAATATCCCCATTGAGTTTTAGGTAGCTTCGCCAACACCCGGCACGAGTATCTACATCTGGGTCGCGTTTATCGTCATCGCGGACTTAAGTTCGCGCTCGTGAACCGCTTTTCTCGAAGTTGATCTGCACCCGATTCAAGAAAAAGGGTTTCTAGATCAAGGTGTTGTCGTCTACGCTGACAAGAAATGACCAAGCCTGACGGGTGGCGATCTTACAAGAAAAGGATAGATAAACTTAGGGCACTGGACAAGGTGCAAGGAACTCAGCATGAACTTTGTTGAAGATTAACGCTCAGTTACCCTAGTGAAAAACCTTATATGCATAAGAAATGTTCTATAAACGCATATGATAAAATAACATCATATAAGAACACATACGAACCTTATAAGAATATATAAGTATATATAAGAACAATGCAGGATTATACAAGAAGTTATAAGAAACTTTTTATCAGTTTCTTATAACTTCTTATATAATCTTATTTGATCATATGCGTTTATTGAAGCAAGGAGTTTCTTATACACATAAGATTTTTAACTAGGGAAATACAGGTACGTACAATAACGAATCTACTATTAATTAATTTTTTTTCGGTTATATTTTAAATAAGAAATGAAAGAGATTAATTTTAGAGCGCTCCTAGTTCTTACCGAAAAAGACAACTTTGCGGACCAAGATGACAAAAAAATGTCTCTTTTTTGGTGCTCCAAGTACCGCTTGTTTAAAATCATGTTTTGTCGTCCATCGGCAAAGCTGAAACGGAAAAAGGGATGTTTGCGGGCAGTCCTTGTTTTATTTTCGTCTAGCGAGTGCTATAAATTATTATTCTTGGTGTGTTGTCAAATGGGAACGGGGAACGCATGCGCGTAGTTTTAGTGTCATCCATCTACGACTATGTTCGCCAGCAAAATTCTTGGGAGTGTATTTATTTTGTGTAATGTTTGAATCTGGCCTCACGACCTTCGCGGACGAACCATCGTGAACAAACAGGCTTGTTGTAATTTCCAGAGGCTATGATAGGTGTACCCAGTCAACAGGCTCGATTCATTCGTTTCTCGCAGCGGCACAGTGACGTTGGACGACCTGATGAAATCTGCCGCGGGCGCAGACCACGCCGCCATGCGTTCCATCTCTTCGAAGCTGCAGTTCGACGCAACAGTAAACGTGCAGTTTACTTCCGTAAGTGCTCAACTTTTAAAACCTATAAACTGTCTAAAATTGAAGATTAAAACATACAAAAAGAACAAGAAAAGCATCCTACCATGAGGGCAAATCAAAAATACACAAAAACAAATTCCCGTCTTTTATCTGTTGGAACAAAACTGTGAAAAAATTGTTCCCTCTGGCCAGCCGAAGGTTAAACGTAACAAAATCTGACCAACGAAACAGCGCACTCTCGTCAAAATAAATAACTTGGTAAAGAAATACATCACTCGTGTAGAGCCACGGCCGGACTGGAAGCGCGCGCTCTCTTTCTCTTCTTACGGCCTTTGCAATCGCCCGGGAGTCAATGGCATTTTTTCTCCGTATGCAGTTCACTTGCTTGCCGCCAGGGGCGCAACCACCTCACCCCACTTCACCCCACTCGGAGAGTCCCTTCGAGGTGCTTTGCGCTGGTGTTCGAGCTTCGTAGGCTGTTGTTTTGGCAATGGCTCCTCAAAATACTTCTGATTAACCATGCAAAGACGGTCACGAACAGAAACGAAAAATAAGCTGGATATGTGCACAAGCCCTCCAGGAAGCACTTTAGGCTGTAATATGCAGTGTGCGAAAATTGTACAGATTACTACATCCTCGTCTAGAGCTGCTGACTGACTTCATGTGCGGCCTATGAAAGGATGATGCAAACCACGGCAATATATAGATTAGGCCTGCTTAAATTTCACGAGAGTGTAAGAATTATTTATCATTTAAAGTTCCTCCACGTAGAAGGGGTTCGTCTCCTCCTGTTCTTGAGTTGCAGCAGAAGTCCTGGAGGTAAAGACGAGTATAGTTTTTCCGCAATTGCATTCGCTGTCTCTACTTACTACTTTATACTCCCGAATATCTTGGAGATATGCGTCAAATATTCACCGTTTTGGGCTCATCAGAAGCGCATAAAAGAGTGGCTGAAGGTCTAAACGTAAGGATCAGGTGTCAAAGGCTATAAAAATCTCGGCCGCAAGTTGCGACAGCGTTGAGATACACTGTCAGACGCGCTTTGTGCAAACGACAAAGGGTAGCCCAGGGGTGCGGTGACAGCGCCCCCCGTGAATTGCGGCGGGAGGTGGCGATTGCCCCAATTGCAAAGGCCGTAAGGAGAGAAAGGGAGCGCGCGCTTCCAACCCGGCCGTGGTAGAGCAAACCAACAGCCATGATGGCGGTAGGCCTGCAAAATATGTACGAGCTAGATAACGACAAAACAAAATTGCCGTGCAAAAAAAAAACAAAAAAAAAAAACGTATATTTTTTATACGTCACGTAAAGTATAAACTTTCTTCTTGCTGCTGTTTTGAAGAGTGACGCGTTTTCTGGGTAGGACCTTTATATTTTATATTTTTAGTATTCAGAGGAATAAACCTGCAGGCTCATTTATATGAACCAGAAACGAAAATATACAGTGTGTTTTTTTAGGCATTACAGATTTGTTTAAAAAAAAAAAAAAAAACGCGAAAGCTACACTAATTCGGCACGCGCAGGTGAGTTTATTGACCAGGTGGACATAATAAGGGGAGTAAATCGTCAGGGTAACTTAAATAATTAAATAAATTTTGTTATTTACGTTAAAGTTAGAGAAAAAAACAGATATTATTCTAATTAGGAAAATAAACGTATGATTCCAATTACGGAGACCTCGCATCCATTCTAAGTAATTGTGTTGCATGTATGTTTAGACAACCGGAAGTTAGCCCTAACGTGCAAATTTGTCCCTCAAGTGCAGACGTGAAATTTAGCTAGTGCACTACAACCGGCAGCCTGGGGTCTTTAACGTCCACCACGCTGTAGTGACACACGACCGCATGCGCCGGTACGATGCTCATCCAGGTTGAAACGGGCAGGGGTGTAGAATGAACCCAGAATTCCCGGCTCCACGCGCTCCTAGCTCTGCTGCGCTAACACTCTTGGCCACCCAACCCCCTCGTGTCCATTTCGTTGCAACCATGTATGAACGGTAGCGCACAGAAGAACTCCATTGGTAGTCTCTTGGCACAAATCTGATGAGGTTTGGCGAAAAACAAATGCCGTTCACAATCGAAACTTTGCGCAGCAATGCTCCGAGATGTTTACAAGTACATAAATTGCCTCAGATACACATCGACACCCTAATAAGATTTATCTCGTAATTCAAAAACGATAATGGTTTAACTTTATTTCCCGTTGCAAGCACGCGTTGCGAAAGTGTGCAACTAACTTCCCAAGCGGTAGCAATTAAAACTCCATCGCGTCAAAAGCCCATGGAACGGCCAGAACGTGAATTGCTTAAGTGCTCCTGAAGTGCTGTTCACCGTCCATTCGTGGAACGTACTCCTGAAAAAAACCATAATACGTGCTTCTCTAAACTCGGGCCAAGTTGGGCATTGTATCAGAAGGAAGCGAAAGTTGCCACTCTAAAACAAAGGGTGTGCTGACAACAGCTTTCTTCGCGTCTCATACCTAATGCAGGGCACAACCGGGCGACCCAAGGCGGCCCAGCTGTCCCATTTCAACGTGGTGAACAACGCCAACTTGAACGGCCGTCTATTCGGACTCCACGAAAACGTACTATGCCTTTATCATATAGGAGCGTTACAACGCGTGCTGACATCGAAGCAACGACCTTTGACGAGTACAACGTGTCCCTCCGTCTCCAGAGCGAGTCGATCTGCCTCAACGTCCCCATGCTCCACTGCTACGGCTGCGTCTGTGGCTCGCTGGCAGCGGCGATATTTGGATCCACCATAGTGATGCCGGCACCAAGTTTCAAAGCGAAGGCGGCTCTTGAGGCCATCACGGAAGAGAGGTGACACCCGTTTCTCGCGACTAAAATGTTGCTTCCAACTCCCTTTAAATAGCACCCGATTTGAAAAATTTGATCCGAAATGTCAGTGCTGGCGCGAGCAGCTAGCACATCGTAAAGCTTCCATCACGCTGGTCGAACGTCGTACGAAATACAAAGCGTTTGTTGCGGACACGATGAGAGAAATATTGTCTTCATACATTTTATGCGTTGTGCACGTCTGTAGACCATTTTCGTAGGACCGATGTGGACGGCATACGAGAGAAAAATACGCCAGAGTCTGCAGACTGCATGTCTTTTGCATGATGCATAAGCAGTGTGAGCGCATTTGACTGCGTTTGACTCCTCGAGATACGGCAGCGAGCTACCGTGTACACCTCGATTTCGTTCAAAGCGTGGCAACCAATTCAAAGAGTAGCAGCAGCGGTCCAAAACACGGATGTCCCTGTGGTCTTTACTCTCAACGCTATCGAATGCACTTAAACTCACTCGAGTGCAGATGCGTGAATGGGTCTTCTACATAGGGTTCTCTGCCACAATGTATATACAGAAAACTGTATCGCATTTTAGCGAGACATAGCAGACGTCTACAATTATTGCTGCGAAGATATTTGATAATAATTATACTCTTTACTAGTATAACGTCGCCAGAGCGGCTACGAGAAAAAACGTAGAGAAATAAATATATACTGATATTTAGGTAGTAATGCAGATGAATGAACCCTACTCGATCGAATGCAGCAAAGTCTACGAAGCCGCCGATAAACAAAACCTTTGGCGAAGTCGTGATTTTATCTTTTCGGCGGCTTCGTAGGCTTTGTTTTCTTCGATCAAGTACGGTTCATTCATGCGCAATTTTTCGATTATTTACTCATTAGAGACCACGTACGATGATGAAAATGCCCGTGAGATATTCTACTAAGGTAATATGCATGACGGACACAAGAGGAAACGTGATGAACTTGGTTGCGAAGAATTCAAGCATTTCTGCTTCTCCAGTAAAATCACACGGTTTACTCGCTTGAGGCATGAACCCTAACCACCCGAAATAAAATAAAGAAAACGTGTAATTTTACTTTGCAGTACCCACATTTCTGTCGGTTGGTTTTAACAGTACACCCGTCTTTACGATTTTGTGAATAATTTTTCCACGTGATATTAAATATGGATTTGTCGTTTCAGATGCACGTTTATCTATGGAACTCCTACAATGTACGTCGACATGATAAATGAGCAACGAGAAGGCATGTACGATGTTTCGTCCGTTCGGAAAGGTACCACAGTTTCATCCCAAGGCACTCCCCTCCCTCCTCCCCCCTCCCCATCTATTACGCTCGTTTGTGCCTCAGTGCCGAGACAGAAGGTTTCCGTGCCATCTGATTGGCCGACGAGAAAACGTCGAATGGCTACTCCGCTCCCAAACCTCACATCACTTGACGATTTTCCTCTGGAGTTATTTTAAGCATAGCCTTAAGGTAACTCCAGATTCTTAGAGCTGTGACCAGCGGCTTAATGCCATACCATTAGGGTACTCCGGCGATTCCTTTATGGTCCCCGATTTGCCTGAAAATTTGCTAAGCACACCAACAAATATTGCTGAGGTAGTGTCCCAAATATTAGTAAAACTAAAAAGTATACTCTCTTTTTCTACATAGATATATATATATATTTGCAAAGTTGTTGAATGTACAATTTCGGTCCTCACCGTGTTTTTCGAACTGGAAATCTCTATTGGCCACAACAAAAAAGTGACGGCAGCACAAAACAGGGGTTTACCATTGGGAGTGTAGAATGTGTCTCCACGGACAGAAAGCAGTCTTTGGAAGCTCGCTTCAGTACGCGCGCACCAGCACGGAGCAAATGCTTGGCATAGTTAACTTTTTATACTGCTTGCTCAACTGTCAAGCCTGCCTTCCGCTGACGTCACGGCACTGAAAAGTGCGGGTATATTTGAATGTTGGTATTTGCTACATTTTCATTTGCCAATTTTCCATTAAATATTACGACTTTCGCAATACAAAATAGTATATCGTAAAGGGTAAGCGCCGGGGATTAAAAAATATAGTTAGTTAGGCAGCTGAAGATATGGCAGGAGCACCCCCTTACGTCTCTGGTCTCCCAGATGAGAATCCAGTGCTTGCATCATTTTCAGGCCTGCCTCGTCGGGGGGGCGTGCTTTCACGTGACACCTGCTATTCTGTTGCATGTACGTTTTTAAAATGGAGGGCACGTATTGCCATGTTCCTGGCTCTCGAATGTCGCCACGATGAACAAATTATGTGACATTCCGATTTAGAATTGACACTCTCTATGTATGGAGACTTTTCGGGCGGCCTGCGGACAAAATAAACGGGCGATGCGTGAATTGTTGGTCAATCTCTTACTTGGACAGCTGTCATGGCCGGAGCTCCATGTCCCCAGGAACTGGTGAAACACGCAAAGAAGACGCTGAACGTGCAAAAGTTCTACGTATGTTTACGTGTGACACCTACTCAATTGTCATTGTTAGAGACATTTTGTTTTTATTACACGTCTATTAAAAACATCTGGTGCAATGTTTCAGATGATGTACGGTTCTACGGAGGCCAGTCCGATTATAACCGGTACGAACCCTTCTGAACCGATGGAGCAGTGGATCGAGACGGTGGGGACTCCATTGGATCACACTGAGGTCGGTGGGAACTCGCTGAGTAAATATGAATAGAACGCCATGTATGGCTCACCGGAGGTTTTGCATTCTGATAAAGGAAGTTCTGCAAATTAAGGCTGGGAGAATAGTGGTTCTAATCGAATAGTGCTCCGTCATTCATTGCCACAACAATGCTAGACAAACCCACGACACACATGTTGAAGCTGTCATGCTGATGATAGAAATAGCTATGCGCTCTTTAATTCGATCCAGTATTCGCATTCTCTCACTGAGAATTAACCCCTGATACGTCAAACGCAGACTGGTTCTTTCATAATGTTTGACAATAAAACAACTTGTAAAGAGACAGCATCGTATGCGTTTTATTAGCTCACAAAGCAGTTGTATCTGATATGCAAACCTTTAATCAGCCCCATCTCGTGTCGTTAGTTAAAAAGGCAAATCGGTTTTCGAGTGAAACGGATGTTGGACCAGGATGCAATCTTGGAGTGCGCGAGCGAAGTCGATTAAATCAATTAAACAAAAAAAATTCTCTCCATCTCCTGAACACTTTTAACATCTCTTCTAATATGGCGCATTTTTTTCGAGGGAAATGAGCATCACGATATGTTCTAACGTTCTAACCACGTATAGAACAGCCCCGCAGTAGCCAAGGACTATGCGATAAACTTGGAAAGCGTGATTTTGCGACTGCAGGTGAAGATCGTCGATTCGCAAGACAGAATCGTCCCCGTCAACCAGAGCGGGGAGCTGTGCGCTCGAGGCTACCTCGTCTTCAAGGGATACCTCAAGCAGGACGAAAAGACGAGGGAGGTCGTGCGCGACAACTGGTACCACACCGGGTGAGAAAAGTGTAATCACGCAGTTGTGTTTATGAACGCCCACTTTTTGAAACTTTTTGCTCGTTTTACTTTGCGGACATTCTCAGTGAGCTTGTATTTAGACGTGCTATTAAATACGCATGTTTGCAAGCAGACACCCCTCAGAAGCAAGCCTGGTCAGAGTGGGTGAGAAGCGCTTTGTTGGGGCACAAGTCTGGCGCCCGTTGGCCTGCCTTAGCCAGGATTGATAATCAGACGATCTACACAACTAGCACCAAGATATTGGCGCCCAGGGGTGTCGGTAATTTATATACCTCGAAGTCACTAGTGTTCAACATCTTAAACACCCGAGACTTGGGAACAAAAAAGTGGACAACACACACCTGTGTGTGAGTGTGTTATCCACTTTTTGTTCCCGAGTCTCGAGTGTTTAAGATGTTGAAAGTTCACCTGCAGCTCGCCTGCATGTCCTCTGTAATTTCTATCGCTAGTCTTGTTCGCGTTTGTTCTTTTTTCGTTTTATTTGTGTTTATAGTATACAGGATGTTTTTTTTTTTAGCTGAAGTAAATTTTCAAAAAAAAAAAAAAAGAACAGCTGCGTTAGAGCACTTTTAGTTATGCCATTAGCATACCCGACCTGGCGCCCACTAGGAACCAAGTATTTTGTGCAACTAGAGAACTAATTGACGGAGATATCTTCATTAACTTTTTAATTATTGTTTTTAGAGGGCCTATGGCATTTACGAAATTGAAGCCCAACCTTAATATGCTCCAACCTCAGAGCGAAGTAAAGGCACAAACAATTTCTGCGCGCGTTTCTGGCTAAATTATTTCGTTCCCGCAGGCACTTTCAAACCGAAACTGACCAGAACAAGAGCGTCAATAACGTCAATATCTTCACTCTCGCTTGGCGTCACAGCAGTGACGTCACCTGTAATGCAGGCACTGCCGTCAGCGCCTTTGTAACATGTTGCTCTCTCCTTAGTGTTTTGCTAACCGCAGCAGGTATAATTTACGCGTCTGCGGTCGGCGTCAACTGTGCTGTGTCATATCCCTCTCTTGACCTGCGGGCGACGCGACGCTTTTGTTGTTACGATAAATGCTGTTGCATGCATTACCAACGGCCGGCAACGTTAGACGAACTTCCTGCGTTTTAGTTGGGAAGAATATTTTTTCAATGTTGGAGATTTCTGCCACTTATTATTTGCCACCGCTACTTTATTTCTAAGTTCTTCCTTTTTGATGCATTAAACTAGCCAGGTTTTTTTTGTTTTTTTTTTTAAAGAACAAAGTAATCATGCTTGTGTAATATCACTGGTTGGCCCCTCTGGCAGTTAAACTATTGCAGCGTGTAACAAAATAATCTTTCTTTGTTCTATGGGTTCTTAATAAATGAGGAAGGAGCCTTGCACCGGCGTCCTGGCTCACGTTACGGTAGTCATGTGCTGTGCGCGGCACAGTGTGAACACGGCATCGGCGCTTTTTCAAGTGTAGCTCAAACAGGGCACTGGTGAGAACTAAGTTTTACTGCCTCAATTAGAGCCCCGAATAATACTGAAAGAATAAACAGAGGGACGGACAGAACAACGCATCCTTCGTGCTTTCGTGCCTCTGTCCGTCCAGCTCTGTTTATTCCACTGTGCGCCCCTCTGCTTATTATTTCAGTATTATTTAGTTTACAAACACGCTGACGTCTAACTTAGAGCACCAAATTAGCGCTTTTCACAGCACCAGTATTTTCTTCGGAAACCTTTTAGTTCGTCGAGAAAAACAAGCAAAAATATAGCTTAGCGCAATTAGGTACTTAAAGAAAAAAAAAAAAAGAAAGCTTGGCAACCAAAGTGATTTGGGCATGTGATAAGCCACCCAGCGTTTTTGCCCCCTGGCCACTTTATGAACTTGAAAACAGTTGCGTTCAAAGCAAGTGCTCGAATTGGAGTCCATCTAGAAAAACGCACATCATCAGTCGGCTCCGCATGGAACACAACACGCGCTCGAGCATTTCAGGCTGAACTGCGGCACAGGCGGCGACGATTCTTTGTTTCAGGTTGTCCACGCTGGTGGGCTCCGTGATGTAGTCTTCATTCCTCACATAACCCCCCCCCCCCCCCCAAAAAAAAAAAAAAAAAAAAAGAATCTAACGGGATCAGAGCTGGTAGTCGTGCCGGCCACGGGACTGGACCACTGCGTCCAATCCACTGCTCTGGAAAAAGTTCGGTGCAGAAAGCGAACAGCACGCGAAGAAGAATGCGCTGGAGCGCCGTCCTGTTGAAACCACGCCTCCTTCAGCACGCTGAGAGGCAGGCCGGCAATAAACTCTTCACGACTCCCTCAAAAATTCTCTCCGTGTATTGTTTTCCGTTCAGTCTGCCGTCAAAGAAATATGGGCCAATGATTTTATCATTCCACACCATACGTTAATAGACCATCTCACTTTATGCTTGTGCTGACGGAGTCAACGAGGATTTACGCTTGCCCAGTAATGGGCATTGTGGAGGACAGCCGTTGAATTTCTGCAGAATTGAGCCTCATTACTCCAAATATTTTTTTTTCAAGAATCCAGGATCCCGGTTCATTTCAATCAGGGCCCAAATGCAAAAGAAAAGGCCAGTCGTCGTTGGAAGTCACTGCCATGTAGCTTTTGGTACAGGCTAACGTGAAACGGATGCATGCGATGCTTCACAAGCACTTTCCACACTGTAGAGATCGTTGTCCCTGAAGACCTCACAAGTTCGCGCACGCTTGCTTTAGGCTTAGCTGTTACGTACGCGAGAACGTCAGTCTCGAATTCGCGGCTAAAACATATTTTTTCTGCCTTCGCCCACTCACCACCATGCCACTTGATGCAAACTTGTTGAAAAGGCGTATGAAGGAAGTGTGGGCAGGAACGAAGCGACCTGGGGGCTGAGCGGCATAAAGTAGCGCAGCATGACGAGCATTCTTTTGCATAGTTAAATATGCGATCACCATGTCTGTTTTTTCTTCAACCGAAAGCCTTGTCGCAATGAGCGACGCCATTCAGATGTGTTTCCTGCCACAGTCAGAGAAAGAGGCACAGCACTATGAATCGCATAGCGCCTGTGTTATTTGTAGCCTTCGTTTTTCCAAAGATATGGGTGCAAACCTGTGTCTTTTGCAACAGAGGAGCAAGTGACGCAGCGTCCGTCGCTTTGTAGCACCATTGTAACAAATCTTCAGAGCAGCTTCTATCATATCAACGAAAGGAAAGGGTAGCGTCACGATGCCCGCTGGGACAGCGTGATTTACACCTGCCGTGGTAAGCAAAACACTAGGGAGGGAGCAACGTATTGCAATAGCGCTGACGGCAGTGCCTGCATCACAGGTGACGTCACTGCTGTGATGCCAAGCCAGGGCGAAGATATCGACGCCATCGACGCTCTTGTTCTGGTTAGTTTCGGTTTGAAAGAGCATGCGGGAATGAAATAATTTAGCCAGAAACGCGCGCAGAAATTGTTTGCGCCTTTATTTCGCTGTAGGGTTCGAGCATATTAAGGTTGGGCTTTAATTTCGTAAAAGCAATAGGTCCTCTAAAAGCAGTAATTAAAAAGTTAATTAAGATATCTCCGTTAAATAGCCGCCTAGTTGCCAAGAATACTTTATTCCTAGTGGGCGCCATGGTCGGGTATGCTAATGGCATAACTAAAAGTGCCCTAACGCAGCTCTTCTTTTTTTGAAAATTTGGTGCAGCTAAAAAAAAAAAAACATCCTGTATGCTGTATACTGGCGGTGAGGAGAAGGATAGACTTTTATACAGATATGTGTGAACGAACTCCAGTTGTCATATATGCTTGTATCTGTTTGTGCCCATCGCGCATGCCTACCTAATGAGGGATAGTTCCTTACTTCACCTTCACTGATAAGTTAACTGAGATGATTTGTTGCCTTTTGTTACCATTAACGAGCTCTAGACAAGATGCACATAGGCGAGAAAAAAACAGCAATGATGCTCTCATTTGTTTTTATGTGATTCCGCACTGTTTGTTACACACCTATTTTTTTTTAGTCTTTATGCGCTTCATCAGGAAAAAAAAAAGGAAATCAGTGAACAATGGGGCCTCACGTCGCAAGGGAAACAAGGTCACGCGCGACTACCGAACGGCATCTTGGAACGAACCACCCAGGGTTTGGAGCCTTAGCTTTCACTCCAAGAAGCTGAAATGTAACCTCAAGGCCACAGAGGCGGTGTTACAGGAGAAACCGAATACAGATCAATAATGAGTTTAGCACAATTACGATCAAGCTTACATTTGCAAAGGCATCGCCAACTGTTGGTTTCATATTGTGTTCGCTCTTACTTCGTAAGCTGCTGAACGCTGTTCTTGTTGGTGTAAGAGTTAGACAGAATTGTTTATACTGGGTGAGCTTCTTTTACAGAAACGTTACGATTAGGAATTAATTGTGTTTGACTTTAGGTCTTCGCTCATGAATTTATCTCTCTAACTGCCTTTCCTTAGCGACGAAGCGACGATGAGCGAAGAGGGTCGAATCACGATCCGGGGTCGCCTGAAGGACTTGATAATTCGCGGAGGAGACAACATCTATCCGCAAGAAATCGAACATTTCCTCTACACACATTCGGACGTGTTGGAGGTGCAGGTACGTTTTACAGCAATAGCTGTTTATGGACTTTAGAGATGCATTCGCGGCGTCGGCATGCTAAGCACCAAGCTTCGTGACGTCACGAAATCATCTGACAACATTTATCTGTAGTAGTTCACCCCTCGACCGAAAGATATCGGGGGCACCCGCACGTGTGGCGGCGCGTACGCCATGGTGTAAGACAGTGGTTCTCAAGCATTGATGATTCGCGGACCCCTTGTGAATCGGCGGATATGATGAAGGACCCTGTTCGTGGTGAGGGTAAGAAAAAGTTATAGTTGAATTACAACAATTATTTAATAAGTGGATATGACTAAGGGCTAGTGTGAAGTAGAATTCTCTTATTGACATATACACGAGAAAACTCACTCGAAAATTGGAATGTTTCTTCTCAATCTGAGGCAAGACAACTTTTATTGCTGGGCTTGACGGATGAGGCTGAGTTTCGCGGAACCCTAGAATACCTTCGCGGACACCCACTTGAGAACCACTGGTGTAAGATCTACACTGTTAAAAAATTCCATCAATCTACGTGGAAACACCGAACAGAACATGTCCCGTTTTCTGGAAACGCATATAATGTGTTGTTTTCTTTCAAAAACGGGAACTGTACCATATGCATTGAAATGTGCTATTTAAGCGATAAGTATGAGCTTATCCGTATCAATAAGAAAAGCCTTAAAAGATTACAGTTTATAGTCGGTTCAACTGGTATAAGCGAATTGAACGCGCCCAAAAGTGCCGGATATCCATCAATTTTTATGGAACTCTATCAGACCTCGGAAGTACAGCACCCGTGAGCCGAGTTACGCCGCGCGCAGGAAGACATCTCTCTCCCGCGCATGCGCAAGCCGCTGCCGGCCGGCGTGGGCCCGGGGGCTGCGAAGTGCTGCTACCCGTTTGGAAGGCGAGTTTGACGTTGTTGTCGCGTCGTCAGCGGCGTTCTAAGGTGCGTAGACGGCTTCGTTTTCCAAGGTACGTATACGTTAAGTCGTTCCTAACGCAGTGTTAGTTTACTATCTCTAAAGGTGTCGTATATTCCAAGTTCGGGATGCCCATCGTGCAGCGTTTCGTCTTTCCAGCCGCATAAAGCTAGGCCTTTTATAGTTCCTGATTCGGAGCGGCATACTACCCGACCCTACTTAGTAGTTGGGCACTAGGAGAGCACGGTTTCCGCAATATTCCCGCATTATTATGCCAAGCCGCTGTCAACATCCGTGACTTAAAGGGGTCATGAAACAATTTTCCTACTTCTTCCTCCTTAGCTTTAATCCTCAACTCAAATGCGAATTGTGAAATCACGTGGTCGTGACATTCCTTCGGCACCGGTGCGATGGCTCCTAGCTTCCACCGTGCTTTTTATGGACACCATAGAACTTGTCATTCCCCAGTGACAATAAGTTCCGTCAGGGCACTCATTGGCCACGAACGCGAATCCAAATATTCGTCGACGGATTGATTGTTGACGAGCGCATACGTCCGAGTGACGCAGTTCTCGTGTCCAATCCGTGAGCTGGGCTCTGCTGACGTCAGTTTGGCGCCGGTGACGCGCTTTTGGAACCGGGGATGTATCATAGTGAGAAGGCGGAGAGCTTTTGAAGGCAAGAAGGTACAAAATAGTCCGCTCTATTTTCAGATGTTCGTACCGAAAGGCTGGCTTTTGACTTTCTAGCATCTTTCTTTTGGCCAACTAAACGATATACGATTAGTAAAGTCTCAATTTAAAATCATTAATCTCAACCCAAAATTCGTTTCATGTCCTCTATTGTAATAGGTAATATTGTAATAGGTGGTAAACCTCTATTGTAATAGGTGGTAATCACTGGACGCCACATTAGAGCTCTCTGAACGCTGCGCATGCTCAGAGTGAACTCCCGCTTATGGCCTGAGAAGGACACCCTTTTTATGTTGAGTAATGCTACACGCACGACGTCGTGCAGCTCTTCCGAAAGTTGCTGTACGCACGACGCGCGTTAATGTTCTTTCATTGGACGACCCGAATTCCGCCATAGTGGCAGAGCTTTGCTCTGCCAGTACAAATTACTGCAGAGCCCTCAAACAAATATTTTCGCCCATCATGGCCTAACTAGGGTGCCTCAATGTCCTTCTGTTTAGGGTGATGCCACCCTTTGTAGTACCCGATGCCGACAGCACGCGCTCACGGGGAAAATACAAAGAAATCAACGAAGACAAAATGTCGCCATAATACAGTCAACGCCACAAACGCGTGCAGGGCCACGCTCTTTCACGCGCTTCTGAACAAAAAATAAAAATAAACGTGTGAGACAAAATGGCGAGATGCCACCACCCTAAGCAAAACGCACATGAAGGCACCCTAGGCCTAACCAACCTCGCAATTCACGAGCTTGCTCGTGAATATGCGACCAGACACGCGCATTGTGCATGCAGCCTCGCACATTCATGAGCATGCTCGTGAATTGTAATTGGGTTTTGTGTGTCAAGTTCCCCCTTTTTTTTTTAGAGGATGGGATTTGACTTGTTTTCATCGCGTATCAAGTTCATTCACCGCAACGGAGTGCGGTTTTGCCTTGTGAATTAAAGGAAGATACTATACATATCACCAGAATAAAGCGATAAACTCATGGGTATACATGCTAACCGGAAGAAACTGAAAATCTCCTCCCCAGTTAAACACTGAAAAGGTGTGCCATGTTTGAAAATAGTATAACTCCCAGAGTCCTAGGTATTAATGCTCTCAAACACAATTGCAATCATAAACGTTTGGTTCAGCGTTCCTTTATGACTAAAAAGATCGACTTTTTTCAGGCAAAAGCATCTTCGATTGCCACTGGATGGCACCAGGTGCTTCGAAGGCATCAGCTTCCTCTCTGCTATGGAGCTGATGTACGCCACATAGTGTGGTCTCAACCTAAAGTACCCTGCCGTGCCAGCAGCGTTGAAGTTCGTTTAGAGGTAACTATGAATGTGCCTTTCAGTTATGAAAATGTGCACTGTGAATTTGCTTTGGAAAAATGTATAGTATGTATGGACAGTTCTAATTCCTACAAGTGGTGGAATTGTCAAGTGGATATTGCATTTCGTGAAGAAATAAATAGGCGATTTATTTTTGTCTGGGAAGCAGCAATAACTGATAAGTAATTTTTGACGGCGTTAATGACATAAAAGGCCGTTAGCAATAAATTATGTACCTAATCTGTTATCGTGTCCTTGTCAACATCCTAAGCAGTTTGGCATACCTTTGAATGGTCGTGTGCTCCTCAACGTATTTCCGGCAAAGCCAATTTGGCTCAGAATTGGAGATTTCGAAGACTGTAGACGACTTATTTTTCGCAAGATACTAATTTTCCCGAATCGCCTACAATTAAAAAAAAAAAAAGGTTCCGCGAACGATTCTGGTAAAATGTAAACACATTGGAGTCTATATTGAGATCCCGCCGCATCGGGAAAATTAGAACCCGCCCGAATTATTCCAAATCTTCAACTTTTACCCCAATCGCGAAATATTGAGCCCGCGAAAAATGAGTCGTTTACAGTATAGGGTACTAGTCAAAAAGTTCAAATACTGTTTTCCTTTGGCAATGTGCAATGTTTCCGAAACTTGTAGGAACACACAAACTGTTCATTACCTCATAAAAGTGCTAACTTTTTGGTGGCCGATAGACAACTATAACATGGCGCTTAATGCTACAATTTTGTGCGCTACGTCATAGATTGATGTAATCTTAAGAGGTAATACAGTCGCGTGTTCCTTTGCTGAGTACTGTACATATACAGGATTTTTTTTTATTCTCACAGATTTGTTTAAAGAAAGCCATGAAAGCTACACTTATGCGGTTTGTGCGAGTGAATTATACGCCCAGGGGGACATTGTGTGGGTGGCTAATCTTTGCAATAAGTTGGCTAATTAATTAAAATTTGTCAACTTTTTAATTAGTGAAAATAGACATATGGTTCCAATTAAAAACTTGCTGAGTGTTATCGAAAATCATTAAATGAGTCATTTTCAGAAAGACTTTCAGCGCGTGAGAAGTGTAGTAGTACAATAAAGTTACCATTAGTGGAGCACGAGGCTAGCGGTTGCGGTAAGGCGCCCGCGCGATTTTTCCGTCTCTTAGCTAGCCCCAGCCTTGTACCTGCTCCACGAGTAGTAACTTCAGCGCACTGTTGCGCTTTTCACGCGCTCAGTCTTTCTAAAAATTACTGATCTAGGGGTTTTGAACGACGCTCAGCAAATATCTAATTGGAACCATACGACTACTTCCACTAATTAAAATATAATTAACGAATTTCAATTGATTAGCCGGCTTATCGCGAAGATTAGCCACCCCGGTAATGTCCCCCTGGGCGTTTAACTCACTCGCACAAACCGCATAAGTGTAGCTTTCATGGCTTTTCTTTAAACAAATCTGTAAAGAAAAAAAAAAAAAGAAGAAAAAACAGCATAGCAGACGCATAACGATTCCTCGAACGTATTGCAGTATTCCCATGTAAATATTAATGGTTTCATTCAGCTTGGTCACACTGTCGCTGAGGCATTGCCAATTACATCAAGCAAAGTGTCTAACTTTCGACAGCAATTTGGAAAAAAATGTTTGTAGAGCAGAATATTAGCCTTAGGGTTTGTGTTTGTTTGGCACCTTCAATAGCAACCTGGAACATGTTGAACCATGTTTTTGTTGAAACTTTACACTAAGAAAGACAAAGGTCTAATGTGAATGTGCTGCTTTCTAGACACCCTTATTTACAATTCGCTTGGCAATTCGCAATTCGCTTTAGAATTTGTTACTCACATTAACTGGATGTGCTGCAGTAACTGCGTGACCTGCTGAGGAGGACCGTTTCTTTTTAAATCATATTATTACGTTGCAATATAATGAAAGAATCAATATGAATCTGGTATGCAGATATATTGTCATATAGAACCAATACTAGAACTTATGCATCCTACGGTACGTGCAACTTATATGTCAGCCCGCCTTAGTATCACTCGGCTGCAAATGCATGGGCCCTTGTTCTGCAGGGGCACATAAATATACCTGTGACCGGGCTATGCTCATCAGTTAGAATAAGTAATATGAACCAAAAGACATGAATGTTCAGTGTTCTAATATTAACCACAATATTCTGCTTAAGCACTCCAGGCAAGCTTTTTTGTAATATTGCATTGACTGATACTATGAATTCCTTTTTTAACCGAAGTATTGTTATGTACAACGTTACTTGGCAGGCGAGCTGGTTAATGACATTCTACAACCCGGGATGGAGGCTACGAAGACATAGGTCTCAATTGATATGGATGTGGCTGTCCTCCTTTGTAGCCTCCGTCTCGCGTTGTAGAATGTCATAGCGTTGTGTGCTCACGCAAGTTCCGAAATGTTCCCAGTTATTACTGAGAACTGATGCCAGTGGGGTGAAACTTTTTTTTTGTACAATCAAAATTTGTCTTGAAGCAAGGATCAGACTTGGAGGCTCATGGTGTGTGCACGGACTGTCCAGATTAAGGGCGTTTGTCTCGGCTTGAAAGTATACTATAGACAAAATTTAGAATTCGTTCAGATTGGATTACTAACCGATAGAGAAGTTAAAGAAGGAGTTAGGAACTCCTTAGCTTCTGTTCGACATCTTCCTCTAAATAATCCCGCCCAATATTTAAGTGCTCTTTCTTTCAGGCAACTTGTGGCAATGAACCCACAGGAGGGGTCCCGGCAGTTTTGAAGAAAAGTTGCTCTGGTGCGTCTGAAGGCGCAGGGAGCCCTCCGAGAGTTCTCGAAGTTCCAAAAGAAGTGGAAAGAAACTTCGGTGCTTGTTTAGATTAATTTGTTTTCTATTGTTAAAATCACTATTTGTTGTCATAGGTCAGGGTGGTTCTTTTCGAGGTGTAGAATGTCAGCATAATTTTTTGTGACATTTTTCTTTAGCAGACTGCTCACTTTGATACTTTTTTGATGGCTGAGCTACCCCAAATATATTTGCGGCATGAAATGTTTTTTTTTTATTGTGTATGTGTTCTAGTCATTTAAAAGAAAAATAAATGTAAATATTTTTGAAGCAGCAAACTGTTCAGTCTTCTTCACAATGGGTCCGTTGCTATGGTTTGGAACCAAAAGGACCAAGCGTGAACTTAGTTTCATAAGGATGTTTACAAATGTTTATATGCCTTTATCCCCGACCCTACATCTACAATGCTCTCTAAACTTGACGTAGCATGCGAACACTTTCTCATAGCATTCCTGGCTGTCCTATTGAGTATATAAGTCAGAGATTCATTGTTCTGTTTTCAGGATAGTGCTCGCATTAGAAACGACAGTTCAAATTTTCCATACAAGTTTGGGGAACATTTCCGCATTGCAGGTAATTTTATGTTACAAAGACTTGCATCAAGTTGCGCCTGCAAACTGTCAGGACATCCCTGTTTTGCATGTCACATATCAGCTTTTTTCAAGGGGAAGCTTGGCATGTGACATACAAAGCCCGGATGTACTCGTGAATAGCGGTAGTAACATAAGATGGGGCGAGTACTATCACAAACAAGACTGAACTTTTTCAGTAAGTACAAGAAATGCAACCTGTGTCATTTTGGACGCATTGGAACATGTGATGTACTTCGTAAAAATGGTACATGTTCTAGCATGGCTTTCAACCGAACATGTGCTGCTGTGTGCCATGATGGTACATTTCCTGTAGCATACACTACTTGTTCCGTGATGATGGTGTATGTAACGTATTGTGGCTGCCCATACAACAACAACATGTCCCGTACTAAAGAAGTATGGAACATGTGCTGTAGTCCGGTAATACAGTACATTTTGTGGCAACAAGGTTAGCATGTATGTGTCCCATACTTTGACAGGAGTTTTTCTAACAGTGTATTATTGACCGTTTTACTGAAAGATGGCAAGAGAGAAAAAGGGAAAGGGTTGCCGATTCTTTCCGCCTCAACTGAGTGGTTAGGAACGAGCGAAAGACCCGGATGAACGCCTTTGACGTGTGTTTCTCCAAGTTCGCTTGTTTTCTTCGTAGTTTTCTCTGTTTTATTTTACTTTCAGGTGTAATTAGAGCTATCGGAATCGTTGACGACAATCCCCTGGTCATCGGAAGAGCATTCTTCGGTAATAGGCTGCACGAATAACAACCGAAAGCGCATAATATTACCGGAGGACATCTGTATCGCGCACGTGGTTCAACAATGTCGTCAACTCCATCTCTTTCCAAATGACCAAAACCCCCGGCGGTAGTGGGTTCCGTCCGTAAACGGAAAGGCTTTTCGCCGACGCCATCCTCTCGAGTGTGGTCGGAACATTTCGTGAATAGAGCGCGCACCGAACTTACGTCAGTACCGTCGATGTGCATGGTCTACGTTCGCAAGGTTAGGCAGTTTTTCTCGTGAGAATCGCTGTTTGATCTTGTAACTTTTCGTAACGTAATTCACCTGAATTCCGATATCTCGGAATTAAAACATTGACTCGATTTTATCATGTACAACGCTTAGTTGAAGGCACATTTCCGCCGTCGGGTGAAGCTGCATATGGCCGAAAAGTTAGTCCTATCGGGTTTCCTTAATTTCGATCTCCTGCGCGATAACAGGGAGCATTGAACTTACGTTGACCGTTACAACGAAACTAGATCTTATTTCGCAAATTAGAACATAACGTAGCTGTAAGTAAACTTCAATTTGTATTGCTGAAGCATGTGATGCATCAATTTCGAATCGTTGAATCATTGATCGACTCGCTTCGACCATGGGAACATTTTGGCTTCGCTGGTTTCAGTTCTAGACAAAGGACACGCTCGTCGACACGGGATCTTTAATTAAAACCTCTATAAACATTCGTAAGCCGGAGGGAGCTGCCTTCAAGCCTTCCCTGCAATGTTCTTATTTCGCGCGTCCTTGTTTACACTATATTTCATTGTTGTGGACGACACGAAACTCCAAATATATTCTCGGTGTACTGCATCTAAAACGGCAAAAACTTGAAGGGAATTTTAATCGCTGTAAACTGATACAATATTTTGAGTACTTACCTCCGACTTCCGGTGGCGCGTTCAGTACCGCTCTTCTCGGTATCGCCGCACTGGTGGATGCCACAATGTGGGGCGAGAAACGTTCCCAACGAGCTCAAAAACACCATCCGCGGCACAGGAGAACACGAGACGCTCCCTAAGTCGTATACCCTGCACTTTGGAGCACCCAGCAGCACACTCAACGCGAGAGGGGCGCCCCAAAGAGCACTTTCGCCAACGTTTTTAACCACTCAGCACGGCCGCGGAAACTGAAGCTCGCTAGATGGCGCTACAGTACTGATGCTGAAGTTGGCGGAAGATCTCGCCTTGGAGGTAACAAACCTCGAAGCTCTGTGTGAAGGTCAGATTACACGGAGTGCCCGGGTCAGCAGAACACGTATTGACTACGCCTTAGCCTCACGATGCATCACAGGAGGCTTTAACGTCAACATCAATAGTCGAGAAAATGAGTGGTTTGTCACATTCCTCAGTGGAGAACTCTGTCATGATGTATTATCAGATGTTAAGCAACCCGCCAGTCGTAACGGTACCTGTCTCTATTTAGTCTTAAAGAGGCTCGTCAACTCATATGTGAAGTTTGTTTCCTTTCCCAGATATTTCAATGACCGCAAGTTTCAGATGATAGAGTAAGTAAAGAGTGCACACGCGTAAAACCGTGTGTTATTACGCGCAATAATAGATATTGTTGTCACTTTGCACACTGCGGCGAAAAAATGCGAACTTTTGTTTGCTGAACCTCTTACCAGGGGCTCAGCAAACTCAGCTCAGTTGTAGCTCAGCCAGGTTCTAACAAATGGGCGCCAATAACCCGATATGAGAGAGTTTAAAAGCCAGCCGAGTACCAACTGGGTCTAAATTTGGCATAATTTGGTGTCTGTCTCTCGCCTCGTCGCCGCAGGTGGTTGGGGTCCCCGATCCAAGGTTTGGGGAAGAGGTATGTGCCTGGATCAAATTAAAATCCGGGAAGAAATTAAGCCACGACGACGTCATAAGCTTCTGCAAAGGCAAGGTAGGAGATCTATTATTTATCGAGGAAATGATGATCACGTCACGTGACATCGATTTCTTAGAGGCGGTTCTGCGAAGTGGTAGTTACCGCTCAGCACATTCTCTGCTTCCCGGTCTTTGTCAGCGCGATCAAGCTTGTGCACTTCTTTTCTTCTTCAGATCAGCCACTACAAGATTCCAAGATACGTGCTCCTTGTTGACTCTTTCCCGAAGACGGAGTCCGGAAAGATACAGAAACATAAGATGCGGGTCGAGAGTGTGAAGATTCTCAATCTATGAAGAACGACCAGCATTCTTGATTGTTTCTATAAATGAGGCACTGCAGCGCTAGCTACTCTGACATAGGGTGCCTCAATGACCTTCTGTTTAGAATGATGCCACCCTTGGTAGTACCCGATGCCGACAGCACACGCTCACGGGGAAAATACAAGGAAATCGACGAAAACAAAATGTCGCCATAGCACAGTCAGCGCCACAGACGCGTGCAGGAACACGCTCTTTCACGCGCTTCTGAACAAAAAATAAATGTAAAAGTGGGAACAAAATGGCCAGATGTCTCCACCCTAAGCAAAGCGCACATGAGGGCACCCTACTCTGACACACCAGGGGTGCTATCCTGGTCACAAACGGTCACGTTCGTGTTTCTCGAAAACTCCTCCCCCCTACGAACCGCGCGCTCCTATTGGCCACAGCCCGCGTGATAATTCCACGCGGTTCCCATGGGAACGTTCGCGAAACACGAAAGCAACTGTTTGCCGTAACTGTCACTCTTCGAGCTCGGACCGTGACGACAAAGTGACGTATGACCACGTCCGACCTACGTAGCACATAGCGGAAGTCGCGTAACTAGATTAACTGCGGTATTACTCGACGCACCCTACTCTCTGTTTCACTATGAGTGCGAGCTAGTGCGGGTGCAGGAGCTACAAGAACGTGCTCCGGGCTTTCAACGTCCCTGTCGAGCAGGCGCGCTTGCGCAGTGCAAACCAACGTTCGTGCAAGCATCGTTTGGGGTGATGTGCTCGTGCTTTTAACTTCTGTTTCTATTGCACGAAGGGGAACAAGCTTTGGGCAGGATTCCAGGGGGTCCACTCAGTTCATCCCAAGATACTTCATCCCAGGACACTTCATCCCAGACACTTTATACCAAAGGTGTTTCATCCCAAGACGTTTGATCCCAAGATGTTTCATCCCATGAACATTACATGCCAAGATATTTCATACTTTAGAGTGGCTCTGCCACACTTCATCCCCGGATACGTTATCCCACGAATGTTCATCCCATTCACTTCATACCAAAGTCATTTCATCCCTAGATGTTTCATTCCAAGACGTTCCATGCCAGTGACATGAAATACCAAGGCATTTCATACCAGAATAATTTGGTGCACCCACGAGTTGCTAAGCTCGAGCAAGAAGAAATCTCAAGGTCGCATTTCACCGGCTGCAGCACTTAAATGAATGTCACTTTGGGGCGTGCAAAGGAGTGCCCACAGACAACTCAGTACTGGACTTCAGCGAAAGTCTGACCATTCCACTTAGAGCCCTCCTCTTTTTGTATTCTTCCCTCTCATTCATTCACTTAATTCAATCCCTATTTGCAGTGCTGCTGCAATGGTCGGATTTACTTATGAAAGCTGTATACTGCTACAAACCGCAATACTGGGGATTGATGTCATTTGAAAACCGGCCGTAAGGTATCGTTCCAAGACAACATTCACCAGAAATATGAAAAATTAATACGTTTATTTTGCAATGACACACTCATAAAAGCAAAACCTTAACAAGAGGCCAAAATTCGGGCTAATACGCTCTTCAGAGCACACCATTCTGGCTAATAAACTCAAGAATCGCTAAGTACATAGCACGATCACGCATTGAGAAAGCTGTCTGCATCTCTGTTGTTATAGTCATCCAGGATCCGGCATAGACGCTTGTTAGACTGCTCGTACTCCTTCTTCGTGTACAGCGGTGGCTCATGACCCATGCACGTCCAGCTGGATGGCCATCGCGTTCACACGAACTTGATCAGAGAGAAGCGCATCCAACAACTTGAATACTGTAGGATGGGATGCACCGATGGAATTTTGGAATACCCGGTGCCAGCTTTCAACGCTATTGTTGGTTCTGGGAAGGCTGACCTCTGTCACGCGCTTGCAATTCCACATGGATATTGGCAACCTTGGGTGCATGTTTGGTCGACCGACCTAGGTATTCTCAAAGTAGTCTAGGAACTCTTGGTTCTGTTCCGTGCGCCCAAACAAGCCCAGCAGCTGTCTTTGCTAGCATGCGATATCTGTCGCAGACGTCGAAAACATCGCAGAAGCACAGTGTGATGAATTTCTTCAGGATGAGGTGGTAGCTGGAATCATCAATGAATCGCGTGTGCATGCCGAGCTCTTGAATTCGGCGCCAGATGCTTTGCGCGAAATGAAATAAACATCCATGCACATTGACGTCAGGAATGCATTCCCGGAAAGCATTCTCTTCAGCCTTTTCAAAGTCCATCACTATAGTGTGCACCTGTCGTGGGCTTGAAGTGGCACCGTCAATAGCCTCAAGTAACATGCGCGTTGCTCTTTTGTACGTCGCTTCGCGCTTGTTCGGCAAGAGACAGTATACAGAGGGAAGCACCCTGCCTTTGTAGAGGCCATGAACAACCCAAAGCTGGTGAAAGGGAAGCACCCTGCCTTTGTAGAGGCCATGAACAACCCAAAGCTGGTAAAACATATCTGGTGCTACTTTAAATGTGCCGTCACACAACCAGGTTTCGCAGGTGTTTCAACGGCCCAGGTCCGTGTTACAGGCGAAAATTATTATTCTTTCCGAGTCAATACAGCCTGTGTCCCCTGCGAGAAATACTTCAGGTGACGCTGTTCTTGTCATGTTCAGGTACAATTATGTCCTGGATTCGGTAGGGAACTTGAGCTGCGCCATGGGCTTCGCGTCGAGCTCTGTTCACCTTCCTTTCCAGTGATGACAGCTTGGGGGGGAGCTTCGCGATAGTCGCTGGTCTTGCCCCTTGTAGGCAGGCGGTCACGACGTTCCGAGGGGTGTCGTGGGAACGCTTGGCTACAGTTTTGATCTCCTCTTGTAAACGCGCCGCAGCGACATTTTCCGGACTCGGTAGATGGCAAGTATGGCCTTGTGTAATAGTGGTCGTCTCATCTGCAGTAACAGCTCGTCCCCGGCAACCCTCCTGGAATTTCTCGCATCTCCATACCGCCTTCTCGTCGGTGGTCCCGCGCTTGGTGTACACGTAACCTTCGAAGCAGAGCTTCGGCGATCCTCGAGGAGAAGCCACAAAGGTGGCCATGTTCTATAAACAAACTCGATGACAATTAATGAGTCGGGCCGGCTGGACTATTCGACTGATGGAAGCTCGATGCCAAGTGCAGGACGGTCTTACGTGGCACGGGTGACAATAGAAGAAAGACGAAGTGCATGTGTCGGCTCCGCGCGTGCGAAACCGATTTTATAACTTCTTCTTCTCGGCAGAACACTTTGTGGTATAAAATATCCAGGTACGAAATGTCCTTGGTATGAAGAGTCTTGGGATGAGACGTCTCGGGATAGAACGTTTCTGGTATGAAGTGTCCGGGATAAACAGTCCTGGGATGAACTCACCTGGGATGAAGTGAGTAGCCCCTGAATCGGCTGGACGGTATGGACTATTCTGGCATCAAATGTCGCGGTATGAATTGTCTATGGGATGAACTGTCTTGGGGTGAAACATCCTGGAATTAAATGACTTTGGTATGATGTGTCTGGGATGAACTGTCCTGGGATGACGTGACTTGGGATGAAGTGTGGTAGAGCCGATTCCAGAGCGTAGAAAATGGCGGCGATGCTTGTTGCGCAACGATGGCTCGATTAACGCGTAGAATGACGGGTTTTCCGCGAGCGCCCGGTAGCCTTCGCGATGCACGACGACTGTTTCTGACGACAATACCGCTTGTCGAAAAGCACCGTGTGATCGCAGTGTGACCAGCTGCGCGACGAGAGACGGCGACGATGAGAGATGATGATCGTCGAGCAGCAGCAGACTAATTGAATCGCACTGAGATTTTTCGCAGCGGGGAACTACAAGAGCGCGGTTGCCACCGATGATCACATAGCTAATGCCCAGTGGATGGTGATCAGAGCCGTGACGGCCGTCGCGAGTGTCGCTGTCAACCGGCTGGGAAGAGACGGTTAGGTTGACGAAACCCCGAACCAAGGCAGCTGAGGCATGTGCGAAAGAAGGCTTTTGTCGCCACCACGACAAGCACTCGACGTCGTGGGGTGCGTTGACGGAACCTAGAATCTAACAGAACCTTCCTCACCATCATCATCGGTCTGAAGGAGATCGTCACCGTTCTGAAGGACTCCAACACATTTCCGCAAACACCACTCTGTCATTAACAACTTGGTGGTAAGTTTACGTTAAAATTTCAGGGTTTCTACCGCTTCGAAGTTAGTGCACGCTTAGTACCTATGTCTTCAGTTGACCATTTGTTTCGGTTTGTAGCTACTGTCAATCACGCAATAAAATCTGAATTGGTTGCTGATGGCATTTTATTGTATCAACTAGATATTTTACCTTTTCACGCCAAGCTTCTGGAATTGCATGTCAGTCATCGGACAGTCCTAAGAAACACTTTTCGACGCCCTGCAATGAGCTACGAACAGTGTGTCCTAAAATGAATCGTTAGTTGTTTAGACAGCAGGAGTTTAGTCTGACGGAGCATGGTAACATTGTTACCCACTGTAGGCGAGAAATTTAGCCAGTGCAATCTTGTGGATGGTCGTCATCTCCATAACCAAGAAAAATAATAAAGATACGATTGTCCTCCATTCAACACCCGTGTGTTTAATGTAAAGGTTATCATAGAAATTAAAAAGATTGTCGTTTCAAAAGTGACAGTAACTCGTTGAAATTATAGAGTATTGCGAGCTGGATTTTGTTTTAAATTTGCCTGTAATGCAGAGCAAATACGCGCTGTTGAAGCAAAGTAGATGTGTGAAGGAAAAGTGAGCATATCTACTAAAGAAAGAACCGCTACGTAACGTGAAAAATGTCACCAACTATCTTGTGGTGGTACGAGTTGAGTGGCTCTGCACATGCTTATGGCAGCCTGTGAATGTAGGGTGCTCTCCTTATGGTATCATCCAGTGGCAAAGCCAGGGGGGGGGGGGGGGCTTATCTTCGCCCCCCCTCCCCAAATCCGGCGGGCTCTAGAATATACACACAAATTTCGACAACACCCCCCCCCCCCCCGCTCCCCCAGTCATAAGCATCCCAGCCACCTCAAACGCCCTCCACCCTCACCCCCTTAAAAGTTGCTGGCTACGCCACTACTATCAACAACTAGCACTCAATTGATAGTCAACATTATCAAGATAAGCGAAATTTTCTTTATTTTATGCACCACATAGGCAGTGTTTCTGTTTTTATATGCGTGCAGGCAAAGCACACACTGTAGAAAACACTTGTGTGAAGCCTGCGTTCACTATGCAGTCCCCGTCAAACGTTCAAGGCGTTAACGAATTCCACAAATTAAAAATTTCAACGAAACGCATTAGTTTTGCGAAACGCTGGCAAACTTACGTTGCGTTTTACATCATTCACCTTTGTCGTCCGATGAATCAGCAGTCAGCACTACACAAACCTCAATGAGCTTGTGGTTTGTTTTCTTGCCATTGGGGCGATCGCTGGCGGTCGTGGCGGCGGCACAATTCTTTCTCAGACCGTTGGCTGCTTCCTCCGTGCTCGCGGAAACGTGGTTTCCTTTGTGTAAAAGGGAGGTTTTGAATCTTGATGCATGGCAACGCTGAATGAAGGTGTTTTACTGTCTTCATAATCTCAGCAAGGCTACCGTACGAGCCACAGCACCACCACCACTTTCAGGCTTCATAACACCGGCACAAATAGAAGCCAAGTCTTGCATCTCGCCAAGTGTTATATTGGAGACGTTAAACGCCAGCTCACTGTGCTCTTCGACCCGGTCCTGCCGCCGAATGGGCTCATCCAACAGCACGAAAGCATTCGTGTGCGCGTTGACCGAGTGACCGATCGCTTGTCAAACCGCAGCCGCGGTCGATCCGACGAGCATCGCGGCCATGTTCTTTCGAGTTTAACTCGCCAAGGGTACGGTTGTCGAGTTAAAACAATGCAAATAATCCCGTGCATTCTTGTTCTTACGTCATTTTGTCGTCACAACCCGAACTCGAAAAATGACTGTTAGCGGCAAACAGAGGCTTTCTAGTTTCACGAACGTTTCCATGGCAAAGAGCGTTGAATCGTCACGCGCAATGAAGCCAATGGGATAGCGAGGTACCGATGTAGGGATGTGTAAAAACGTGGAAGCCGTTTTCCTTTCTTTTTTCTTTTTTTGCACGAGCTTTTCTGCAAATATAAAAATAAGTAAAAAAGGACTGCCCGAGATTATGCAGTCGCGTCCATTTCTTCAGCGCCGAAAGAGAAGAGCATGGCTTATGAGGACTACCGTCGTAATCACTGCGGTGAGCAAAGCGAGCAAAGCATTATTAAAACTGCACGAAGAAACTTTCCTGCATCATCCACAGCATGTTCACAACCGGTGCACTCTGCGTCGATCTCATGACTAGTCATATATTACCACAGAGTTGTCGTCAGCTCTGTACCCATTTGGAGTCTCCTTCACAGGCGAACAGGAAATTTCATTTGCAGCTTATGTTCACGGTGGCTTCACAAAGGATGGTCGGTGTCGCAGCGTACCTTCACATAATATTTTCTTCTCGTAATGCCATCCGTATCGTGCAGAAACAGGGAAAGCAACCACGCAAGCGAGACACAAACACCACAAGGTCGTTACCGCGGTTTTCGCCATGTTTGTTTTCAAAGACCGTAGCGAAAGACTTCGAGAAACAAAGCTGAAATATCTTAGTTAAATTTACTTTATGTCATAATTATTGAAATAATCTTTCGTATTTTATAAAAGAATAATATTATTTTTCTCTGTTTCCTTCCATTTTCCGGAAGGTAGCCTTTTCTCCGTTATTCGCTTGTTCTAAGTCCCGGAGGAAAGGAAGAAGATAACAAAAAGAACAGAGGGAAATGCAGGGATTTCTTCGCCCCAACTGGATGGACACGTCACCGCGACGTAGGGCATCGTCAGATTCTAGCTGACCGCGTGCGTGAACCCGAACGTTGGGGTGGAGCCTCAAACAAGAATCATTCTAGTTTGAGGCTCCGCCCCTTCTTTCTCGATACGTCACAACTCGAAAGGTACCCGTTTGCGACCAGAATAGCACCCCAGTAAATGATGCTTTTGCTATGAGTGACCATGTGTGTGGCAATGCGGCTTGGCTTGGAGCACGTGTAGCAAACGCTCGCATTGCAGAGCCCAGGGAAACTGTGCTCTGGCCCCGCTCCTACCCTTTATAATCTGGTTGAGCATTGCGGCATGCGTTTGTGTGCGAATACTGCGTGGTGCACGCTATGACTCCAGGCGCAGTCACAGTCGCAGTGTAGTGTCTAAACTTCTCATCTGCAGCGCTAACCAGTTTCTCCCCACCCAGACAGACCAACCTTACGTACAATTCCAACAATATGAGCTGGAACACCTGATCTCTTCGTTTTCTGCGCCAACAACTTCCAGAAGCACCATCATCTCCGGAATTGTCAAAGCGTTCAAAGATTAAGACCTAAGCTTCGCGTTCCAAATATAAACCAAAACATCTTAAAAAAAAGAAGAAAAAAGGTTAGACAATGTTAAGAAGCATGGAGCGTTGTTTTATATCATATTGTCAGCGGTAGCACATGTCTAAACACCCGGATTATATTTTGCTTCGATATTATTGTTCTGCGACTTGACTTTTTCTCCAAGTCTTTTCTGACCTTTTCTTCAATTTTTACTGCGACGGCTAGTGTAGGAAAGAAGTAACACGTGTTTACTAACTGCATGACGATGGAAAGTGAGAGGGATGATCTTTATAGGTTAATCAAGACAATAAGCAGTGAACATTTTTTGTTTCTTTCTTAAAATATTTCCGCCATTATTGTTATCCGTCGAAATTCAAGGAACTCCGCTGGTGTCACGACCGTATGTATCTCAGCGATCGAACACGAACTAGCTCACCGGACGGCTTGTGCCCGGTAACAATAAATCCGTCGCCGTATACTATTCGACTTCGCGTTCGTGGCCAATTAGATGGATGACAGAACACGCCGAACTCTTAACATTATGCGAAGCAAAGCAACGTCTATGAACATTTCCAACACATTAAGTACAAGTATGATGAATACTGGTGGGGCGAGCCGCCAAACGAACATTTCAGGGCTTGTTCTGGCGA